ATTAATTTACTACATAGTTGATGTCCCACTGGTAGCAGGCATCATTTTTTTAACATCCCCATTACAAAATTGTTGCGCGCATCTTCTTATAGAGGCTTAGTGACAGACTGTCAATTTCTGTTAGTGTGATTTGTGTCATTTGTGATAATTACCAAGAAGGCATAAAAAAAAATCAAGTCAGTTGAAAACAAATAAATTGGGATTGAAAGGGTTAAACAATTTAAGATGTTTTATAAATTTTCAGTATTTAGTTATTCAGATTTCAACCAGTAAAATCATCTTCTCCAAATGCCATTTGTTAAATGTATTTAAGTCCTCAAAAAAAGTATTTTCCTTTCATTTAAAGATTTTATATTTTGACAACTTGCACATCCTTTGTTTTGATATTCTGCACTATATCACACGTAAAATTATAAATTTTTGCTCATAAAAACTCACAGAATTCATGAGTCTATTTGAATTAATTGTGTTTCTTATATCCAAAACATGTTTAATATGTTGAAGACGTATATTAATAGAGTTTTTATAATATATGTTTAGTGGGAAATATGCACTAATATATAACATGCATTAAAATAATTGAGTCACAGGATCAGTAAGAAACCATGGTTATTACCAAAATAAATAAGGACAATGTGCAACATAATAAAGACTACAGAAATGAATGAGGACAATATTTAAAATAAATAAGGACTATATACAGCTCCTCACACTCCCACATCATCACCACTACATAAGAATTAAACATGTTGCAACAATAAAATGAACAAAAAAGAGAGAGTCTGTGCAATCCATTACTCCAAAAAAAGCATATGTTTCGAGTATATACAAGTATTAATACATAGTATGAATCACAACCAACACACTAAAAGTTGTACTAAACTACAGCACACTAAAAAATACTATACTTCAAAGGTAAAGAATTCTTAGGACAAAGAATCGCCACAAAGTAGACTCTCTCTCAGAAATATTAATTTTAATTTCGCTACAGATTTCTGGAGTGCATAAATTTAGATATTCTGAAAATTAAGAAACACAAAAGAAAAACATTAAAATTGTCTTAGGAAGTTTGTCACTGTAAGTTCAATAAGTAATTACAAAATTTTCGAGAGTAAAATGTATATGAAAATTTAAATAAAATACTCTTAAGTGCTTATAAGAAATGTCTTAATATAAAAGTTTTCTTCTACCAATGGCGGCCCTCAGCGGACTTCGGTTTGGCCACTACTAAGTGATGGTCACTTTATTACGGAGGCACCTAATTATAGGTGGGCCACATTTGCCTCCTATGAAGGACAGTTACAATCCTGCCTTCTCCGAGGTTCGAACCGGGACCTTTGGTATCGCAGCCCGGCGACTCAAACCACTATACCGTCTAGGCGGTCTAAATATAAATGTAAATGTAAGCAATCCTATTTAAAGCGACTACTCAAAATTCCATTCTTTTTAATCTTGAGTGAATGTGGTGAACTTGCGTAATGATTAGAGGGAGATAGTCACCAAGAAGGTTCACTGCAAGTATACATTATTTCTTAAAAAAAAAAAAAAAAAAAAAAAAAAAAAAAAAAGCTGCATGAAGATTTTCGTGATTTTCCTAAAGTATAATGTGCATGTGAACCAGTTCCTGAGAATGTACTCCACAAAGGAATCCCACCCCTTAAGCAGATAGCCGTAGTGTGCTTTGGCATAATCTAATAAATATAAAACCTACTGAAATATTATATAGCTGACTTTCTTCATAACTAAAAAATCAGCATTCAAGTAACTGACTGCACGCTGTGCATGAAAATTTTAATGTCATTTTAAGAATAAACTGAAACAAAACAAGAAATAATTTTCTCTATAAGTGTATTAGATTATCAAAAATGAAGAAAATAATCTCAAAATTAACTTAGCAATTTTTTTAAAAATAAGGTTATGCAGTTACTTACCATCCTTTTTCTAATCTTTTTTAGATAATACTTTTCATGAAAAATTACCAGTAAAAACTTTATAAAAATGATTTATTAATGACCTTTGTTAGTTAACTATTAATATTACTTTGTTACTATATATATTACTTTTACTATATTACTTTGTTACTACTATATATTACTTTGTTATATATATTACTTTGTTACTACTTAGTTACTTTGTTAGTTAAAATTCTATTAAGTGCTATAAGTTGCATTAATTTTCTATGCTCCTTCTTACTTTTCAGCAAAAATTTATTAGTTAATAAAAAATATGAAAGTAAAAATTATCCTTCTTTCCATCTTGCGCTCATAAATCATTATGGGAATATCCATTTACAGTTATTAAAGCCTGAAAAAAGCATGTCTGCGATGTTATCGTCATGCGATGATTTGTAGATACTTTATTTTTTACCACGATATTTTCGACGACGATGTTTTTAAACTGCGAAGTTTTTGAACCGCTTTATTTTCGACGACGATATTTTGTACTGCGATGTTTTCTCTTTGCGATGTTTTCTCCCACGATGTTTTGTAGCACGACGTTTTCGCCTTGCGTTGTTTTCTCCGCGACGTTTTCGTCCGCGATGTATTTGCCGCGATGTTATCGGCGGAACCCTCGAAATCATGAAGGGAAAGGTAGGAGGGCGGTTTCGTTTGGGAGGATCAGCTGGTGTACAGATCTTCACATCTCGACGCGGTCAGCAACGGACCCGTATGTACAGATCTCTTCCATATGTGCTCTTTTAGAGCGCTTGGGTCCGCAGTTCTTTCATGGACGACAATGCACCATGTCATCGCACAGTAGCTGCCGAACAGCTCTTAGAGAGTGAGGATATTGAACGTATGGATTGGCCGGCACGATCTCCGGATCTCAATCCCATCGAGCATGTATGGATTTTCTAGGCAGACGCTTGGCAGCTCGTACTTTACCACCAGTAACGATTCCTGAGCTTCGATTGGCGCGCTGCAAGACGAATGGGCAAGCAATGCCTCAACAAACTCATTGACACCCTCATTCTCAGCATGGGCAGACGCTGTGAAACCTGCCTAGCAGTCAGGGGAGATCATATCCCCTATTAAAGACCGGATGTTTCTTGCTGGACACCCATCACAGGGATGTTTCGGCCTTCAGTCGCATTGCGCTCCATGCTACTTTTTCAATAAAGCTTCTTTTTATCCCTCTGATTTCTCTTTCAGTAAGTGTTGCTTACATTACTCATGTCCTTACGTATTGGGGATCTTACGGTATTAAATGTGCTGATTTGGAAAGCTTTTGTACAAATTTATATTGAAAAAACCGTCTCGTCCTTAATTTTTGCACACCAGTGTATATGGAGGACCTAACAAATGTTACAACGCATAAATAAATTCATCGGACGTGATAAAGTTCCATCCTGACAAACATAGCTCGAGACATTGAGCTAGGTTATACGTGGAAGTATTTGGATACTCCATACAAACTCAGACACTTCTGCTGCACTGATTTGAGGCAGCTTTAAATCAAACTACATTTTACGAGGCTTGCTTCTATCACTGAACCGTCATCGTGAATGCTGCTAAGATCAGCAGATACTCTTCGCAGAAAATATCAAGGTGATTCATATTGGCCAGCATGATATCCTGATTTCTAGCACGTGACGAATCTGTGGGATATGACTAGTCGTTATAAGAATACTTTTTTATAGCCTGGCAATGGGGATATGCTAGGGACTTTGATCAATACTAAAAGGTCTAAACACTCCAAAGCATAATTCGAATATTTATTGAATCAATGTCGCGCCCAATAGTTTTATCACCTAAAAGGATAGCTCTTCGACTGCCATAAAAATCCGATCGTAGGGTTTGCGTATGCGTTTCAAACTGAAAAATCACCTGCCCCTATTCCTTGTTTCAAGCACGTACGTCTTTATCTATGTTTTGACTCTTTCGAAGCATTTTTCGTTCGTTTTTCTCCTTAGTCATGTACTTCCAGCAATAATTTAATAAACCGAATTTATTCTCTGTGTTGTATTTATTAAGAAAAATACTTATATTTCTTAATAAATACAATAGAATAATAATTAATACAATTTTTTAATAAATATATGGTTGTGGAATATTCGAACAGAATTAGTTTAAATTAATTATACATTGTGGGGATTTATTTATTGTGCTTAACAGCTTCTTTATTTTTAAGCAAACTTTCCTATCGCTTTTGCTTTCAACTCACACTTTCTTGCCAGAATGTAAATGATCTAGCGCGCATGTATTCGAATGAGGTAAAAAGAAGTTGGTATTTAAGGGAAGGTTTCGGAAGGTGAATTCAGGGCGTGTTCTGCCTGTCTGAAGGCCACGTTGTGATCTTATTTCTCTAGCGATCAGATTTCTGTGGCATTGAGTGCTTCTTGCCATTAGGTTTGTTTACGTTTACTTTCGATTTAGAGCCACCCTGGGTGGTAATTAACCTGGAAAGCCGCTAGGCTAACTTAAATTTAAGTTAATTGTTACCTTTTTGAAATAAGCCAGAGATATTGGCTTTTGTAAACGCAATTTTGTGCCATCAGTGAAGTTTATTTAAATTAATAAAGTGTTCTTTACACCCTTCTTCTGACTTGTATCTAAAGACTTAAAGATAATTCCATAAATACTCTTCTAGCGTCTAGCTCAGTTTATGCTAGCAAAGCATGCGTTATAATGTAATACCTCGAGTTAATGATTAAATTTTCATTCAAAAATTTATTATCCAAGGGTTTTAATATCCATCTATTTAATGAGTCATTTATAAATGTTGGCTAATTTCCAGAATTTCCATGTATACGGTTAAATACTTTATACATTTTAAGCATATTTATATATTTTTAGAGTTTAGTTAAATTGCTTACTAAAATTTTAATAATAGGTAACAAATAGGCTAGAGAAGATTACTTATATATGAGTGATTTACACGAAATCATAACTCAGAATAATTACAGATTTAGTGAATTTACCATCTAAACCACAACTAAAATTTATTTATTATTACAATATTTTAAATAATGACTTTTATGCAGTTTAATTAATACTTACTTTAAGGGATGATCTTAGATTTGGAGACAGCTTAAATGCACTCACTTTTCCTCTGAAAAATTATTGTTAAAAATAAAGTACATTACAATTATTATAACCAAAAATTCCGATAGTAAAACATAAATAATCTCCCAAATCAATTTTCATTAGGTGTATTAAAACTGTGTAAATATCGATAATGTAATATTTAATTTAAATCATTATTTTTGCTACAGATCTAAATTAAATATTATATTCATAAAATATAAAATAAAAAATTGATTAAGCGTATAGATTTGAAGCTGATCAAATTTTGCATATTATTCTTTTTTTAAATGTGAATACATTTTTTAAGAGGCTTCTAAAATGCCTGTATTATATTTCCTGCTATTCGATAATTCTGGCAATACTTATCTAAAATGAAAGAATATTGATTAATTAAGAATAGTATTAAGTCTAAATTAATATTTCACTGTCATGTTAGTTCTAAAATGCTAATATTAATTGATGGTTAGCGTAACCTCAACCATTCTGAATGAAATATGTAATTAAAGTGACGTCTTTTGCAAGTTTTCACGTTAATAATATATATTACAGAAAAAGTAATAAGCAAATTAAAAGTTATGATAGAATTTGCAAAATTTTCTGGATAATTCAAATATCGGAAATTTTCGAAAATATTAGAACAGTGAAAAATTCATTTGTGAACACCAAAGCTGAGAAGGCTAACTGTCAGCTAGGAAAATGTAGCGATATTAATCTGTACTATGACCTTGGAATACGTTTTTCTTATCGATTAATCGACCATTTTATAATCGATAGTAATCAATATTCTTTCAGACTTTTTCGTAAAGCTCCGCATATTATTTTCTTTGTAATCTGATACAAGAACTCAGCGAATTTAAAAGAAACGTACTGTGATTTGGCAATATATTTAACAAAGTACAGCAATTTAATGTATATATTTATTAAATATATTACTTTTCTATCTTTACCCCATGAAATTAGAAAATTATTATTTGCAAAATTTTCGAGACCTTCAAACGTGGCCTTTGAAATCTGCAAAACAAGACTTCTAAATGAAAGAAGATTTTTCGAAACATTAATATTCCGTAGAATATGGATATCGTATTTTACATCTAGAAATTTTTTGCATGGTGATTTTTTTATAATAAAATGTTATTCTTGTAATGAAATTTTAAATTATTTTAAAGAAACGCTTAAAGAGAACTGATAAAAAAAAAATAAAACTCACTTGCGTAACAGCCCTAGTGGGCCAAGGCCTGCTGTGCCCGAAATCTGCTTTCTTGACCGTGGGCCCCGGGGTGCGTGAGCATATGCCCTGAACAAGGGATCAGCTTGTCGCAGGAGCCCCCAGTATTTAGTCCTCAATCGAAATTGGTGCTCATTTTATCGACCCAAGAGATGGAAATCAAGGAATGAAAGGCTGAGTCGACCTTGCCCAGCCCGGGGATCGAACCTCGGACCTGTGGGGCTGCTGCGCTAGCCACTGCGCCACTGGGCCTTAGAATTGATAAACAACTTATATTAATGTACAGGAAAACTGAATGAACTTATTAGCTACCTGTGTAACCTTTCTTTGTTTAGACAAATTTTCGGCTTCGCAGTTAACACAATTCAGACAAGAGGTAAAAGTTAATTAAAACTATTAAAAAATTACATCTCGTAGTTTAAATAAATTTAACAAATACTAGGCAGTACTACTTGCAATATGTCTAGCTACACTCAAATTACACACGTATAACCTACAAGATATTTTCAAAGTCTAACTAACTCGGAACCAGTTGGCATGGACTCCCTCCTCGCGAGTAAAAAGCAACGATTGTTCACCAGATCGGCTAAGCCAGTGGTCTCAAATTGGTGGCTTGGAAGCCGCATGCAGCCTTGAAGAAAATTCATAAAGAATTTTTAAGAAGCACATATTTTGGAATAAAATTTCTAGTAATAGCTTATAATTTAATTGCAAAATATCATCTGCTACTTTTAAATTTATTTTTCTTTAAAAATATTGCATGTAAACAAATTTATGGATTGAAGCATACGGTTTTGCGCTATTCCATAATTCAAATACCTTCTGAAATGCATAGTATTAAAATTTCTAAGGGTAGTGTCAACAATCATCGGAAAGGGAAAAAATGCCAATCAGTACTTCTACATGGGAAAAAAAATGTCGCCAAACTAATACCCGAAAAAGGTAGATACTGTTTCGAATGTTTCTGAAGTTAAGTCATTTGGCAAGAAGAGAAAATCCGCTGACGCGAAATCAGTTGCAAAGCCGTTAAATATATCTGAAGTAAGAATATATAAAATAATAAACCAAGATTTAAAAAGTAAAAAAATTAAAAAACGATGTTCACCAGCTTTTGCCGAGGCATGTGGCTCAACATATAACAACTTTTTAGAAACTCTGTACGAAAACTTCTCAGCAGAAGTTAAATCGATATACATTGTGACCATTGATGAAGCATGGATTTATCTAAATGACTGCAACAAAATAAGATCTATTTATTATCGAAAACAAAGAGAAAAAATTTTACAAACCTGCTTCTGTCAATACTAAAAGTTTCAGTTGGGTGTTTATAACTGTCGCAAGATTCTATTACGGTGGGAAATTAAAAATAAGAAGGGTGGCCCTGGGGTAGATAAAAAAGATATTAAAAGATATTAAAATCTCAACGTACTATCAAGAGAAAGTTTTACATCCGATATTTATAGGTGGAATTCCATTTCTTTATCTGTATGACTTTCAAAGAGTGAAACTTCATCAAGACATAGCAATAAGTCCTTTGTAAAATATCCCTGCATTCCTTGAAAAAATGAAGACTGATACAGGTATACAACTTTTCAATGCATTTCTGTGAAGTCACTGACTTCACATTTATGGATTATTGTGCCTTTAGTTTTCTGAAAAGAGTCCTTTCTAAGCGCAGAAAAAAACATTCCAGATGTCTGGGAAAAATCATAGTTTTTCATAAATTTTTAAGGTTTTAGACTTATTTCACTTACTCAGATCATCAGTAGAATAGTAGAATTCTTCAGCTGAATTCTCAAATATGGATATATTTCTGATAGAAACTGTCTAATATATCGTACTTTTACTTCTAAATCATTTAAATGATTTAGTGTTACGTTAATCAAAGAGAAAAATATTTGAGATTTTTCTAAATTTTAACACATTTATTCACTTTGTAAGATAAGATGTATTGAAAATAATAGGGGAAAAATGTACATTACTATTTCAGATTTTAGGAAGAGAGTTGCATTAATAAGAGAGAAAATATACTGAACTTCATGTGTGATTTTAATAGTTCATACCAAAGACTTTAATATCATGCAGACATGTTTTGCTAGAACATATCTTATTCGTTTTCAAAGAATTTATAACATTTCAAATTATTTTTCATGAAAATTTGTGGAAAATTACGATATGTCAGGAACGACTGAGGACTTCATATGTTGCGAAGCAGCTTTGAAAAATATTTTCAAAATCTCAATTAGCATAGAAAACTTTAGACGTTTTCGCAGTACTTCCGAAGTTATAGCAGTTCCGTCGAGCTTAAAGACATGTTCACTAACTAGATTTATTACATGATTTGATACGTTTCTTGTATTTTTTTCGAAAACAGAAGTTTATTCTTCACATATGCAATCTATTAAAATGAATCAATTAAGTTTTGTACTCATATTAATCAGCACTTCTGAAAATTATTTTAAGCGCCATATTCAGTGTTCATATGTACTCTTTATATCCATCTGTTTCGCTTGATAGCACAGTTACACAAGGCGAAATATATAAAAACGACTGAATAACCTGTATCATATACAGTACATAGACCAATAGTTAAAAAATTACTTAAAAATACATTCAGTTGTTGAAAAGTAACCTTATTTTATATAACCATATACACATTTGATAAACTCAATACATTTGCACTTAATTCGGGACTTTTGTTTAAGTAATAAAAGATAATTTATATTCAAATTATAAGTAATGTTATACTTAGAGTCTATTAATGGTTTTATCAAAGCGATATTGCCTTTACATACACGGCAAATAAATATGATACTGTAATGCACATCAGTTTTCGAACAGAACTAAAAATTCTACTTTAGTGACACACTAAAGTGAAGATCGATGTTTTTTTAACAAATATATATATATTTTGACTCTAATAATTCAATTCAAATCAAAAATGGGTTAAACTTTTAACCATATATGGAATAATATGATGTCATTTTCTATTCCTGAATAGGCTAAATTCTAACATAAATTAAAGTTACTGCCCATGAAGGAATTTATTGGTATCTCTAGAAGAGGATTTGAAAACAATTTTCGTGCTTTCAAAAACTTATTATATATTTTTTTAATATTGTAATTGTCAGTGGGGAAGAAAGGGTTTTACTCACAAATTTCAAATTGGTAAAATTTAATTAGAAAATGAATTTTCCTGAAAATAATATATTTCTCATTAGCATAAATGAATTTAGTCAAAAATGAAAGTCTTTTACAGTATATGGCTATGAAAAACATTGAAATATCTGAGATAGATGTATGAAATTTAACTCAGAGATGAAAATCAATGAATGTATCATTAAAAACTATATATAGCAAAGTTTTCTCTGAATTTTCTCTGAGTAATAACTATGTACCTGATCGTGATTGTTCTAAGGCTTTCTAATAGAGCATATCTTATTTTTAAATAAAAAAGTTTTTAAACGAAAGTATGGCTAATGTTAAATCTAAGGAAACATTTCGATTTTCATCTGTTAAGAGAAAGGTGTATCGTTTCATGGGAAAAATGAGGGTGTCACTGAATTTTCAATTTACTAGTATAATACTCTTTAGTATTTAGAAAAAGAAGGAATAATTAAAAAAAACTGCTTCATTATCTTACTCTTACTACCTCAGGCTTGATAAGTCATCTTATGCTGCTTATAGAAAATGATTTCTTACTCAAACTTTATAATAATGCATTATAAGATTTTACATTTTATGTGAAAGTAGGCTAATATTACTATTCTCGATGGATGGGATTTTCCAAAAGACTATGT